CACTTCCATATCTACAGCACTGACATCGGAATGTCATTTGGACTTGATAAGTGTGGTCGGAGGGTGACAAAAAAAGGGAAGGTAGTCCACACAGATGGGATCTCCCTCCTAGAAGGAACAATAACAGACATCGAGGACAGCTACAAGTACCTCAGTATCCCACAAGCAAATACTAACATTTCAGGTGTGTTCTTGCTGTGTCTTTGTAAATCCATGCTTTCGTTCTTTTTTTAAACACAGAAACAGTTTTGTTTACCTGTTTGTAGCTACGGTTTCGCCGACAGCTGCTGGCTTCTTCAGGCTGACGCTGATGGTGTCGCGTCACTTCCTTCTCCGTTTATCTGCGGGCAGCAGAGGACGTTGTCGCCCTCTACTGCCCGCTCTCCCCTCTCCGACGATGCAGTCCCATGCGTGGTCCAGCGTGTAAACTCCGTCGTCCCTGTTCATGGTCCCACATCCACGTCTCCTTATCTCGATTGCTTCCTTGATCCAGATAAACGGAGAAGGAAGTGACGCGACACCATCAGCGTCAGCCTGAAGAATCCGGCAGCTGTCGGCGAAACTGTAGCTACAAACAGGTAAACAAAACTGTTTCTGTGTTTAAAAAAAGAACGAAAGCATGGAAATACTAACATTGATGAGGCCACAAGGAAAGGAGGTACAGCCAAACACCTACAACGAGTAAGACGTGTTCCAGAAGTCAGCTCAATGGCAAGAACAAGAAGCACAGATCTGGGCAATAAACAGTTACACCCTACCAGTAATCAGATATCCTACAGGAATATGAATCTGGCCAAAGGAAGAAATACAGACCATTTCAAGACATGGAAGCTCCTAACCATGTATGGAGGGTCCCATCCAAAATCCAGCGTTCTGAGACTGTACACTAGGAAGTAGGCAGAGACCAAGGACTAGTGAGTGTGAGAGCCACTGTCCAGGATAAAACATCCAAGATCAATAAGTTTATCAAGGACAAGGCCCCAACAGGTGGCATGCTCAGTGAATGTCTCAGACAATGGCGAGCAGAGGAGGAGACGCTGGAAATACAATCGTGGAAGGATAAACCCCTACACGGGATGCACCACAGACAGATAACCACAGTGGCTGATATCAATAAATTCTACCAATGGCTAGAAAGAGCTGGTCTGGAGGACAGCACAGAGACACTCATCATGGCTGGATAAGTTGCAGGTTTGAGCCCAGCTCAGTCTGTTGATGTGTCCTTTGGCAAGAAACTTAACCC